GGCTAGATTAAAGTTTCCTCTTGGTAATTATCATGAATAATTCCTCCTATGACGTTTGTAAGTTAAAGATGCAAATAATATATAATGACCTTCTTGTGTACAGCCTGGAACAAGACTTGTTACATTCAATATAAAGATGAACAATTACTGTATCCAATGAGTGGAAGTATACAGCTCAAGAAGATCCGTGATACATAGTCATCGGTCACATATATATACATTTATTTATTTTTTTCGAAGCCCGTGGACGTGCAGCAAAACAAACTTCCCCCTGTGAATAAAAAAAAAAGTGAACCGTGAAATCACAGCACACAAAAACGTGCACAAGGGTGCAAGGTCCTTCCAAAGAAGGGACCTATTCCCGACCCCCCGGGGCGCAAGGCTCCTGACAGGGGTTGAGACTGTTGGCCCACCAACCCGAAGGCCGGTGGACCCCGATCCTTTGGGGACCTGCCGAAACAGGTCCCTCACAGTACTAGGCAGGGGGGATCTCCCGAAGAGAAACCCCCCTCCTGGGTGGGAGGAGACAGAGAACCCCGTAAGAGGCACAGAATCTCCTCCCAGCGTCAGGAATAGGCCCCGAAGAAACCTGCGCCTTCAGCATCTGTGGGTCAAAAAGCTTTAAAAAAAAGCCAATCGTGCAAATCGTGCATAGAGTGCATAAATAATACTAAAGTGCCAGTGCACCACGCTGACAGGCCTTAGGGGCCGGGTGCTAAAAAATTGCCCCGGACTAGCCATAAGGCCTGTCCAAGAGGCGTTGTGCAGAAAATAGCAATGTGGTGTGTGACCGAGTGATCAGTGAGTCAATGTGGGTTCCCACACCCAAGTGACTTCCTGAGCACCCCTGGGACGCCACCCCCAGGGGGCACAACACCACAGGCTTCTGCCGCCTCCCAACCCTCCAGCCAGACCAAGCTTCGCATCCATTCCCATCAGGAGGCAGGGCACCTTCAGAGATCCCCCCACCAGTGTCCACCCATCACAAGGGTCGAAAGCACCGATGGCCAGGAACCTCATCTAGTACCCCACCAATTACGCCAGGAAATACTAAGCCGCCATCTACCACTCTCCTTAGGTGACGGCGGCCGTTCTTTCCCGCCAACTGATAAGAACAGATTTTTTTGATTGAAAAATATACTTTATTAATGTAATAAAATATACAAAAACAAGCTATACAGTCGGGGTACATTCTACCTCGTACTGCGACGCAGCGCATAAACACCACATAGCAATGCAGCTCAATCACACAATAAATTACATTCGCACTGCGGCGAGATGCCTGACGTGCAGCGCAAGACAAGAGTCCAGAGCCCTCCACATCATTCATGACGCCGCATTACCCCGTACTGAGTCTGTGGTCCGTAGGATCCACATCAAATACCTTCAGCTAAATAAACCTCAACAAACCTTGCGGCGCAATGTCTGACGTGCGGAACTCGAGGTTCCTCACGTCCTACATGGCACCGCGACAACACATCAGGCATAAACATTAACCGACAACAAAGCATCAGGTGTAATGGGGGAGAGGGAAGAGGGGTAAGGGAGGGGGAAAGAGTTCACAGGCCCGAAGCTTTATTGAAGGACAAGAGACACAAAATAAGATAAGAACAGATTTTTTTTTTTTTTTGAAGCCCGTGGACGTGCGTCTAAACAAACTTCCCCCTGTGAACAAAAAAAGTGAACCGTGAAATCACAGCACACAAAAACGTGCGCAAGGGTGCAAGGTCCTTCAATAAAGAAGGGACCCATTTCCCGACCCCCCAGGGCGCAAGGCTCCTGACAGGGGTTGAGATACTTTGGTCCACCAACCCGAAGGCCGATGGACCATTTCCTTTGGGGACCTGCCGAAACAGGTCCCCCATAACCAAAGAAGGGACCTACTTCCCGACCCCCCGGGGCGCAAGGCTCCTGACAGGGGTTGAGATACTTTGGACCACCAACCCGAAGGCCGATGGTCCATTTCCTTTGGGGACCTGTCGAAACAGGTCCCCCACAGTACTCCCACCCCTTCCTGGGTGGGAGGAGACAGAGAACCCCATTCGAGGCACAGAATCTCCTCCCAGCGTCAGGAATAGGCCCCGAAGAAAC